ACTTCTTCAAGTGCAGGGAGTCCTTCATAAGTAACACTTCTTCCTGAGTTGCAGGGAAAAGTCCACATAGTCTAATGTCTTTGTTTAATGTTGTGTGGCTTGCCTGCCTTCAAGTGATTCTGTTCAGTGTCTCTCTCTAAATCCTGGAGGATTTAAAGCCCCGTAGGAACTTTGCAAGGACGAACGGAGAAATAGAGCAGACTTGAATGAGCATTCACTCAGCAACCAAATTCTGTTGGAAACCACTGCTCTTCGAGGCAAGCACGTGTTTCACGTGTGTCATCTGGGCGTATGGTTAGAACTGGTGTTTCTCACAACTTCAGGCACTTAGGAAAGTTTAAACATAGATGTGACACAAATAACACAGCTAGCTGATGATGTAACGTACTAAAAATTCTACCCCAAAATTGAATTTTAAAACCCTGCTTTTTGTTTGTCACAGATGTTTCTCTACCCAGGGGCAAGTCACGCACAGCGGAATGAGATCTTTGACGTCGTCCCCTTTGTCCAGCTAGCACTTAAGTAGGAGGCACCAGGTAGCATGGGCTTCCGGTTCCAAGACTTCCTTTTCTGCTCTCTGTCCGTGCCACTGACCAAATCACCGCATCTTGCCGGCTCTTTCTGTGGAATCTGAGATTGTCAGACCTGCGTCCGGTTCTTACCTTCCTGGTCTATTTAGGGAACCTCTGCCTCTGTGGGTAAATAAATAAACAAATAACTCGGAGAACCTTTCTACCGGCCTTTCAACAAGGCCTGGAGAATTGTGCCTCTCGCGCGTTCCTTCACATCGGCTCTGGGAGATCGCCAGGAACGCAGGGTCTTGTGAGTCCTTGTTCTATACCCATCCCTCGCTTTGGTGACACGGTCTGTGAAATGGAAGAAGAATGGTTTTACGAGACTGTTCTTACAATTCACTTTTCATAAAACATCGTTCTAAAGTTAGGTTACAATGGACCAAGTTCTGCACACCCTAGGAAAACAGCTTTTTATGCGGACGTTTGATGAATACAAGACAAAATGGGCCCACTTGCGAGAGCAGGTGCCAGGACTGACGACAGCCCCTTGTACAAATGTCTTCGAGGTCAGACTTGGTAAAAGGAATCTGAGTTTCCCATAGAAATCCTTAACTTCCCAGCCCAAGTTCCTAGATTCTCAAATGTTGAAGAAATTAGGGGCCCCTGGGTGGCTCAGTCAGTTGAGTGGCCAACTCATGATCTTGGCTCAGGTCATGATCTCACGGTTCATAAGATGGGGCCCCACCCCTGTCAGCCTCTGCGCTGAGAATGTGAGCCTGCTTGGGAGTCTCTGTCTCTTTCCTCTCTCTGTCCCTCCCCTGCCCATGTGCTCACTCTCTCTCTGTGTCTCTCTCTCTCAAAAGAAATAAGCTTTAAAAAATAATTTTAAAAAAATGTTGAAAAAATTAAATGCACATTTTAATCAACTGTATAGATTATATACCTATAAAGAAAATCCGAGGCAAAAGCGTTGTCTTTGTTAGGATTATAAAACAAGGGCTTTGCTGGGAAGATTTTGACCCGCTTCTTTAGACTCATGTCACTAGACAGCTTTTTGAGAGACTTTGTAACTATTTCTTTGGTGTGCATTAGAGATCACATTACTTTAAGTGCAGCAAGAAGGTAGCTGTAAATTTGCAGAGGGCCATAAGCGTATATTTACTTTAAGGAAAGCAAGCTTGGGTGTAGAGTTCGTGTTTCCTCCATCGGAAAGCTCTCGGGCTCACCAGGCCCTAGCCTGCCGATCTACCATGAAGAGTGACCTAGAACTTTGGAACTGAAAGGTCCTTTACGTGTTATGACCCACTTCCTCATCAGCCTGACTCTCCTCTACCCACCTGCAGCCAGTTTCACCCACCCCTCCCTTTTGTGACAAGGAATGTGAAAACCCAAAACGTCACATCTCTTTTATCTTAAGAAAATAATCTGCTCAGACCCCGTGTCTCCCCCCACCCCCCGCCCCAGCATCTACATGTGATCCTGTCAAACCTGTGGCAGCTAGTGTTTTTGAATAACCCTCCCTGAGATGCTCTCTCCTAAGTTCTGCTAGAACTCTGCACCCCTGCTTCTCCCCACACTTCCAAGTGCCCCCTTCCCTCCTGTCCTTGAATGTTCCCCCCATCTGGAAGCTGCTTCGGAACCATGCTTCGGGCTCACAATAACACTGGCATCTTAATTTGTGCTACTGGTCACGATCTTTGTGCAAACATTTACTTTAACCTCTTACGTATTCTTGATCGTTTCTTGAACAGCACAAGCCATCTTTGTGTTAAGTTCTTCTGCAGAAGACTTGTCTTAAGCCAGTGCCGTGACCTTGCATTCCTGTCAGTGATGGTGAGGTAGCCAGAGGAGAATATCAGAATGTCAGGTGAACGTAGATGTCGCAGAATTTCGGATGAGACACGGTGTATTCTCCATCATTCTCCGTCGGTAAAACACACGAATCCCTTCCAGCGGATTCTCTCTGCCTTTAGCACATTACATAGCTGGGCCGTGGCTGTCCTCATGGCCTACGGATATCTGTAGCTTTGCCCTTTTTCTCCAGATACCCTGCTTCCCTGCCCTCCCCCCACCCACCCCCCAACTTCTGCCCCGGACCGGGACAGCCTTGCTGGTTGGCGGAGACATTCTTAAGGCAAATCAGGACAGTTACCCTAAATCTTGTTTGTTACATATGGGTCCTTAACCATGCTGGGTTATCCTATGAGGTTGGGGAGAAAGCAGTTGGAAAGTAGAGGGTGAGGTAGCTCATTTAGAAAAAGATTGGAGCCTTATAAGCAAACCCTTGGTCCATAAGTTCCCTTATTGTCACCAAGGCAAAATTGCCTCTTCGAGGGGGGTCCCGCCTGAACTTCCCTCCTTCCTTGGCGTCATCGGTGTTTTTAAGGTTCCTTCAAATAGTCACTTCTCTTAAAGGTTATATTTGATATTCACTTCATTGCACCTTCATTCTGTGTATCTGTATTCTGTATATCTTCTTTATGTATGAGAGCATTTATTATTGTTTTTGTTGGTTTTTTCAGGGGGTTGGGATAGATTGCAGCAGCTTTTGATAAAAGTCCTAGTTTCTTAGGCTCATTTTTTGCTAAGTATCTTCTGAGGAACTTTAGGAGCCTCACCAGTGAGACAGAATCTGTGGCCGGGGGGACACAAGGCAGAGATGTTTGCCACCGTAAATCACTGCACGTAGCTGTTTCCCTGCATCCCTTTGGCGCATGATAGTTAAATACTCACCTACAAAGAGTTCTCTGATGGATGATCGAAAGCCTTTCCCTCTACTGTACAAACATAGCAAGCCTTTCAAGCTCTGTGTATGTATTGCTATCATTGTTAGTACCTCCAGGTAAAATAGAACAGCCCAGAGACGATGACTACAGCCGTCCACATTCATACAAACAAGAGGAAAGAAGCAGCCTACGTTTTCAGTGACTCTGCAGTCTCATATTGTTGTTAATTTCCCAAAAACTTAACGTGAGATCAAGTGTAATTGCAGATTTCCTTAAGAACCATTGACAGATACTTATCTTAAGTTATAAGCAACTCACACTGTGAACTGTGTATAAACATTCTAAGTTTTCTTCCAGAAGAATATACTTCAGTGAAACCCAGTATCCATCAGTCTTTTTAAATAAACAGAGCCATTCCCATTCAACGCCGCAGTTGGGGAGACTTTCTTTTGTTGTGACTTGATTTTTAAAAGAGATTAATGTTGCAGCAACTTCCCATTCGTTTTCAGGGCGTGAAATAAGTCTTTGATAAGGATCATCCTCAAGACCTTACGACCTTTGGCTCAGGGGGCTACATTTTGAATGAGGTGGTAAAAAAGATAGTAAATTGCAATGTGTTTAGGCATTGGCATTGTATGACGGCGAGGGGTGTTTGGTGTTTTGTTTTCTTTCTAATTATTAGGTGGTCTGTTGAGTGCAGCTGTGTTTATGTTTCCTAAATGCTAACTGCCTGAACATGGTGACAAGTCCCTGTATCTGAGAATAGGGACTGCTTTTTAAAAATCTTCTTGTCCATGTGCTTTAATAATGGAGGGTTGTCTTTATCAAGTAGCAAAGGCAAAAATAATTTGGGGCACAGTCATTCAATCCAGCTAGTTTGCTACATCAGACGTTTTGACAACCTTATGAAAAAAAAAAAGAATTGATACTTTAAATGTTGCGTTTAGCAGTGGAATAAACTTGGAAATGGTAGAAGTTTGTAGACTAGTCACATTTCTTTAACTGATGTTTTGGTTGATTGAACTTCTTGGTTATTAAAGATACACACTTAGATCATAAATGTAGATTGATCCTGTAGAGAATTAACAGTCGCATATTTTTTCTGTCTTTCTTAAAAAACAAACAAACCAGTGAGCATAAGGTCATGGCTTCAACAAAGAAGAAACAGTTTCTTAGGAGAGAGAAAAATGTATATAATCAGTAAATAGCTATACGAATTTAATCGGTAATTTCAGAATCATATCCAATGCGTGACATGTTTAGATGCAAGGACTTAATGACTAGTTTTTGAGGCATTTTCTTCAGTGTGACATCCGTCATAACTCAAATTAATGTTTATTACTACTCTTTACCATTGCGAAAATATTTTCATGAATTTGGATTAGAAGCAGCTTGTCCTGGCTTGTTTTGCGACTTTGCTTCAAGAAACAAAGTGATACTTATAAGACTTTTGTGTGTCTTAGACGCCTTAATTAACTTCCTCTTAGGTGGAAAGAGGAAGCTGAGTTTTGTTTCTTAGGTAAGAACGTAAGATTTCATGCTATGCTCATTTTGTATTAGCGCATATATAATAATGTCTTTCAGGAAAGGTGAATCAGTGCTCCCTGTATTAGCTGTTCAGTGAGTAGCGATCTGGAGTCTGCTTTCAGTCCGAGAGGACACTGCCTACTGATCCAGAACTCTTTGGGCGGGCAGTTTTCTTTGGGATTCTCAGGTTTCTGTCTTTCCCATTCCTTTTTTTCTCCCCTTGTCTCCACAGATTGGTGAAAGACAACAAGTGTTAGTGACAGAAGAATCTTTTGATTCCAAGTTCTATGTCGCACACAATCGATTCTATGAGCAGGTGAGAGACACTTCTGCGTTAAGTTCTCAACGCTTTCTCCAAAGTGAGAAGGTTGTGAAGTAAACCACTTCAAGCAATGGGAACTTCAAAGGGATGGAAGGCGGTAGAATCTTGTCACCGCAAGGCTGTTTTACAGCCTCCAGCTAGCTAGACCAACGGGCGCTATCTCGGTGGCTCAGTCTCCAAAACAACCTCCACAAAGGAGTAGCTGTGTCTTAGTCGTCCTTACTCCTAGACGGGACCAGCTGTAGGCGGTGGGAGCGCTCGGGAGGCAGCTCGCCCTGCCAGAATTCCGCAGCCTGGCAGGGCACAGGGGAAAGTCCTGCCCAGAGGACAGGAAGGATGTCTGCACGGGCGACATCAGCCTGGAAGGGCCGGGACTTCCTCTCACTGTCCCAGCGCTCACTCAGGCGGTCGGTCGCCTGGTTGTTTTTTGAGTTGTGTTTAGTTTTAGTTTTTTTTTTTTTTTTTTTTTTTTTTAATTTCCACCCTGATAAGAATGCTGGGCAAAGGGAAAAGAGTCCGTTCCGTGGTTTCAACTCAAACAGTGTGACTGACTCTGGAGACCAGTATGGGGGTCAAAACAGCTTCACTTTGAGAGTCGTCTTCGAGGGCCAGCTCGAAGGGCCCCCCACTCAGGGGCTGCCTTGCCGCCCCCGGAGCCAGCCAGGTTCCTGTTTCAGCACTTGGGACTCTGCTTCCCCCGGTGCTCCTGGGAAGGGCCCAAAAAGACATGGTGTCTCCCCTCCTACATGGGACACTGTCCCACGGGCCTAGGGATTTCGAGGGTCCCTCCTGGATTGTGTTCACTTGTCTTAATATCAAATGGGTTTTCCTGCTTTTTTTGTTCCTTTCTCTTCAGATGAAGAGTGAATTTTCTTTTCTGTGGCTCATGGCTGAAATCAGAGCTCGGGAAGCCCCTCAAGGCCGCTGTGGGCAAGTCAGGGAGAGGGAGGCCGGGGAGGCCGGGGAGGCCGGCTGCCTGTGGTGCAAAGCAGAGTGGCAGGAGCTGGAGCGCCCCCCCTCCCCGACCTCCCCCTACTCCCCTCCCCCACCGCACCCATGCTCCACATGGAATAACCCCACCCGGGACCCCGCAGCCCCCGGACACTTGGGAGGCTCCTGTCAAGGCCCACGGGAAGCCTGTCCTGTTCTGTCCCAGGCCCGGCAGAAACTACAGCAAGGAGGTGCCCCCCGCACTCCTTCCCCGTTTTCCATCTCATTAGTTGCCTCCAGAGAGCCGTTTTCCTATTCAGGCCAACCTGCTCAGCCCCGGGGAGGAACTCGATTGTATTTTTGGTCGCCTCTTCCCTCTCTTTTCTCTGCCATCTGGGTTTTTGCCTCAGCGGGGAACTTTTTTCCCCTTCATTTTAAAGGCAATGGCATGCCTCATTAGCTGTTTCCTCCAATTTAAAGCAGTCGGGCTTTTTCCAATTATTAAAACTGGAGGGGGAAAAAAAAAAAAACACTGAGCCCTTCATTCAGATCAAGGCAGCAGATCAAGGAGAGTTATTTTTCCCCCGGAATAGCACCACATCTCTCAGAGACGGTTTACTCCAGAGATTTCCTTGTTTTATGAAAACCGATGTAAAAGGGCTTTCATATTCTGATACTGAAGCCTTGTAGTTCCTGGGCTTGCCGTGAGTCATTCACCGCCCAGGTGACCTCTCTCCTACCCTCGGATGAAGCCGCATGCTCAGTGGTCATGAAAGAATCAAACCCGGAAAGACCGAGATCCCAGAGAAATTGGTTGGGGACCGCCAGCGCCTCTGTGACTTGCTGGTGTCCACAAGGAAGCGTATCAAAGATTTCACAGGCATTCTTTTTCCGAGTGAGATGCGTTCCAGCAGGGGAGAGCATATCTAGATATCAAAGGATTGCTGGATTAGAATTTAGTCTATTTATTTTGGATCCCACCTTAAAAAGACTGGCACGCAGCTGTGGCTCTGAAATAGAAGCGTGAGGAAAACACACTGCGTGCAAACCAGCGACAGGTCCCCAAAGGAGCGAGGCATCTGCTCGAGGTAAACAAGTACTCTCCATCAGACACCTTCGACAGGCCGGCTGACAGTTTCCCGTCCACTCGAGCAGGGGATCCTGGATGGAGGTGGAACCTGGATGCATTTGCTAACAGAGGGAAGGCAGGGAACAGGAACCCTTAGTTCCAGGAGTCATCCAGCCGCAAACACCAGCGTTTGGGATATTAAGAAGGCCGCTTGTACACGTTCTTGCCCTGCTTCCCCCGCCCCCAACCAAAGCACACGCCCACGCGCTCGCACACGCTCACATCCACATAAACGTGCAGGCCTTTGATTTGATTTGAAGCGTCCACTCAAGCCGTTCTTCTGACGGCTGCCTTGGCAGGTATTAAAAGTATAAGGCTTTCATCAGTGTTGTCTCTGTTTTCGTCATTGCCCGGGACAGCCAAGAGCAGAATATCAAAGGCCTGTCCAAAAGTGACTGGCTGATTGCTGGGGGATTTCCCGGGCCTGCCTACCACATGCCTCAGGACAGCAGGCGTCCCGCAATGAGAGAGCATTGTCTGCCGCCCGGCAGGAAGCTCCGTCCAGAAATGCCTTCCTCGCCTGAGATCTCCAGGTCCTTGAGCAGCTGCAAGATGGAGCCTACTTGGGACGGGATCTCAGAGCGGGAAATAAAGGATCTTAGGGGACAAAATCTGAATGATACAGCGTGGGCTTCAGTTAACAGTGGCACATCAGTATTGGCTTGCTAATTATATGTCTTCCTAGTGATAGGACACTCACGCTAGGAAAACTGGGGGCGAGCTGTACAGACACCCTCTGCCTTCTGGGCAGTGATTCTATAGATCTGAAGCGGTTCTAAGATCTGATGTTCATTTAAAAAAAAAAAGATTAAGCCTTCTGAACTTTTTTTCAAGGTTTTAGTGCCAAAGGACCCCACATTCATGGGGAAGATGATCGAAGTGGACATTTATGAATCAGGAAAACATTTTATGAAAGGGCAGCCGGTATCAGACGCCAGAGTATACACGCCATCCATCAGCAAACCATTAGCGAAGGGAGAAGTCTCAGGTTTGCCAGAGGTGAGTAAAAAGACGCTTTCCTCTCTACCCTGCTGGCAAAACAGCAGCTGTAGAAGCACCGTGACTCCAGCCCACGTTTCCGTTATCGTTTGGAGTTCCCTTTTTATGCATGCATGAGGCTTTAATCCTTTCTGACAGATTGAAATCTGACTTAGGAAGATGCATTTTTGCCGATGCCTCTAGCTCTGCCCCTCTGCCTGGAGACGAATAGCTGTTTCTGCTTCCGGGCCAGAGCAGAGGGCAGGAGGCAGTATTTTCAGGTGGAAGATGGAACACTGAGGACCATCTGACTGGTATATTTCGGTGTCAGCAGATCCTGAGTGGAAGGGGGTTAAGAAAGGGACATTTTCATGCTTTACAAAGCTGTTTATCGCACAGTCAAAAGCCGCAGTTAAACAGGCACCAAACTGTGTCCATCCGGTGTGTGCGGTTAGGGACCTTTCTGTAGGGCGTCCGTTGAATATCTGCTTTGGTCACGTGGAGTGAAAATTAAACAATTTTTTTTCTTTCTATAAAAAAGTAACCTGACCCCTGTTTTATACCTTGGTGTAAATATGGCTGTTTGCCAACCTCTCTCTTACATTTCATTGAGCTACAGTTGTAAAAGCTGATGGAGTGTGAAATGAAAATGTGTGTCACATTTCCAAGCATCATTTGATGTCCTTTCTCCAACACAATTGTTAAGCACTCCAGAAAAAATACGCAGCCATGACTTCACATGCGGAAAAAGGGAGAAGTGATATTTATCTGACCGTACAATTCCACAATTGTTTAAATATGTGTATTATCTTTCCCCTGAAAATAAGTCACAACGGCATGTTAATTAGACTTTGAGAGTAGTGACAAAGAGGACCCTCTTATCTCCGTTCTCACTTAACGTGGTGATGGACTCTGGTGTCCAAACATGAGTGGCACCTCTCACAAGCCTGACAAGTGTCTGTGCACAGCCATCTGACTGATAATGGAATGACGCACACCAGCCTCTGTCACAGCCCCGCCAACTGTGTGTCGTCCTCAACAGGGAGTGAACTCTAACACTGGATAAGCATAACCATGAATGTTTGCTGTTGTTAAAAAAAAGAAAAAAAAAATCCTTGGGGTTTGGGATGGATGACCCGGAAGGAACAGTATAATCCAGAATTTAAATTTTACTGCTAGAGAGTCGGCTTTTGATGTGTTAGCTAATACTTTAGAAATTAAAAAAAAAATTTTTTTTGATGTTTGTTTATTGTTGAGAGAGAGACAGAGAGTGAGTGGGGGAGGGGCAGAGAGAGCGAGAGGAAGACACAGAATCCGAAGCAGGCTCCAGGCTCTGGGCTCTAGGCTCTGAGCTGTCAGCACAGAGCCCCACGCGGGGCTCGAACTCACCAATCATGCACGACCTGAGCCGAAGTCGGATGCTTAACTGACTGAGCCACCCAGGTGCCCCAATACTTCAGAAATTTTTAAAGGAAGTTGGTCTGTGGTGGTTGTTGTTTGCTTTTCTACAGAGCGTGTATTACAAGGTTGACTTTAAAATTGCCACAGTGAGGGGCGCCTGGGTGGCTCAGTCGGTTGAGCATCCCACTCCTGATTTTGGCTCAGGTCACGATCCCAGAGTCACAGGATGGAGCCCCACGTCAGGCTGTGCGCCGAGCACAGAGTCTGCTTGGGATTCTCTCTCTCTCTCTCTCTGTCTCTGTCTCTCTCTGCCCCCCTCCCCCACTCATGTTCTCTCTCTCTCTGAATGATAAAATAAAAATAAATAAAAATTAAAAGAAAATAAATTGCCACAATGCAAAGGACTTCACAGCACATGGCAGTAGGGGGCAAACTATTATCTCAAAGACCCTGCCGGATGTAATCCCATCAACGTGTGTCCCTGGAAAAGGACAGTGTTCGGAAACATTATCGTAAACCAAGAAAAGCAGTGCCCTTCTGTTAGTTCCTTAACTATACTGTTTCTTGCTAAAAGGGCAGCCCCATTTAAATTCCGGGGGGTGGGGGAGCAGCCTTTTCCCCTCTGCCTTCATCCCTGCCTCCAGCCTAGAAAATGTGTTGACATCTGTTCCCACCGCCAGCCTCCCTCCACCCTGTGCTGTCCGAGATCCTTGCTAGGATGTGCTGGCCCTCCTGGCTTTCGAGGAGGAGTCTTAGAGTATGCATGAAACCAAAGGGTTTGGGATTATCAGTTCGGATGCTTGTGTCGAGAGGAAATCAGGCAAGTCTTTTGTTACCGTGTGTGACTTCCTGGACATTAATGAGCATAGCTTTACACTTCATTATTTGTCAGCTTTTAAAGATACGCCAGGCTTGGGGTCCAGAAAGCCTTCTTTAATGAATTTGTCCTGATGTTAGAAATGTTGTTGCTGATGGTAGAAACCAAAATACATTAGGCAGGAAGAGAACAACCTACATTTTTGTAGAATTTAGAAGTAGTTGGTAGAGGTGAAAACCATGCTTCGGGCACTTGGAGCTCTGTGAGCACTCGCAAAGGTGCTGGAACTCTCAAATGAAAACATCAGCTCACCTGCGTGGATGAAGCATGGCCTTGGGGTCAGACGGACCTGACTTTGCATCTGGACTTGCCAGTTTACCCGAGCCATGCAACTCCCAAGCTTAATTTGGAATCATAATGCGTGGGAATCATAATGTCTATCTCATAGGGCCGTTGGAAGGAATACGTTCTGGAGTGCCTGTAAACCACCTGATCCTGTTCCTGGAACATAGCACACAGCTACCAAATGGTTGTTTCCCATTTCCCTGAAATCTAGTTGCGTCTAGAAAGAGCAAAACTCTGAAGATGACCTGGTACTAATAGTCGTGGTTTTGTTCATTGTTCCAGCCGTTCTCATGCAGGACACATTTACAGAGGTCAGCGTGGGGGGTGCGTCTCTATATATTAGGATCATCTGTTCAGATCCAGAGGCCCAATCCCATCCGAATGGGTTTCTGCATTGTGTAGGCTTTCCTGAGTTTTTCTGGAAGGATGCCCCCTGCCATACACTTTGTAAAGAAATCCGGAAAGGTCAGAGCATTTAAAGCAAAACACTGTGTTAAAAAATTATTGTCCATAGTAAATGCATTACCCTAATTGAGAATTTGATAATCCTGTAAGTACTTAGCCCTATGCTACTTTAGAGTTGTTTTGTCTCATTTTAGGCCCTGTTGACGTCTTTTGATAAAACTGGTGACAGGTACACAGACTGGGGGAAGAAACACAGACTGGGTGGGCATCGTGAGGTCCAGATTATAGCCTTCTGGTGTTTGCGGTAACAGGCTTTTGTAACCTTCTGTATTATCACTTAATGTTCGCCGAACCTCGGTTGTCTCTGAGATTCTGTGATTGAAATATTCTCCTTGACAAAAATGGATTGAATGAATGCCTACCCTGTGGCAGGGCTTTGAATTCTATAAATATTAATAGAAATCAGGCCTTGTTACTTTCAGATAATAATAGGTAAATGCTCACAGCATGGTGGAAAAGGAAAGCGATAATAAAGGCAAAAGGTTGCTGTCCTCTAAGAAATTTTATGCTAGTGGAAACAGCGTATGGTAACATCTTTTTATGATTATTCCTGTCTTCTTTTCAGTTTGGTTGGAGGAAGAGAAGATTAGAAAAAGGGGATAGGAAGGAGCCAAAATTAGTCTGATTGTTATTTGGGGAACATGGGGGCAAACTGCCACCTGTAGCCTAATAGAGAACATTTCTGAGTAAGTATCATTTGAAGGATAATTTCAGATAAAAAGGTTATATAATAATTAAAACAGTGGAAGGCGTCATGGAGTTCAAAGGGATAAATATAAATCAAAGAAATGGGAGATCATGAACTTTTTTATGGAAGGTATTAGGGGGCTTTGTTCTTAGGAGGAAGCAGGAGACACATATGCTTTCAGAGATGTTCTCGGATAATAATTCTCAAGTGTGGTCCCCAAATTTGCAGCATCCGCAAATCTGGGAACTTAAGAAGGCAGACTCTCAAGCTTCAACCCAGACCTGGATTGGAAACTCTGAGAGCAAGACCCAGTAACCTGTTTTCTTAATAAGCTCTGCGTGATACTGATGCATGCTGAAGTTTGAAAACCACTCTCCTAAGAAAATAACTCTCAAGTGGGAAGGAGTGTTTGCTATTTATAACAGCAGTTTTAATATTTTAATGTAATCGTACCAAATTTTCACACTTCCAACTTCAGACAGTAGAGTGGAACAGCATCTCCATGGATGGAGAAGACTGTCTCATCTACGTATTGATAATTCCTCAGGAGTGGGTTGTAAACATGATGGCGGGAGTATGCGCATGTCGCATGCGTGTAGGGAGGAGGTGTTTAGTGAAAGGGGCCGGAGGCATAGGAACCTTGAGCAGAAGCACCGTTTTAAGATGTGAAGAGCATGGTTATTTTTGCCACACTCCCTCATGGAAGCTAAATTTGTAGTAGCATGTCCTGTTCGATGTGATGATCTTTTTATACCGTTGAAGTTTCCGTAGAAAGTTGCTTTGCTGTTCAGTCATTTCACCTGAAGAAAACCCGAGGGTAAACATGGCCCACTGTCACTTGTACCACATTCATGACCATGTGATAATACGAAAAATTATTTGAGAGCCATCACTGAAGATTAGGATCAATGAGTTGTTTTGTTTTAACTCTCTTAAGGAAAATTTTTATTAGAGAAAATTTCAAGCATACACAAAAGTAGAGAGAACAGTATAATAATCTCACATACCCATCACCCACCTTAAACATCTGTAACTTCTTTCTTCTACACTGAAAATACCAGGTCCCAATAACCCAACGTAAGTACTCATTGCTTTATCCTGTGATACTCACATAACTGTCTAATAATAATTGTACCAATGCTATCACCAACACCATGATTACCGAATACGGAGTTTAGTTGTGGTGGCGGTGGTGGTGGTCCTAGTTTTGCAGCTGTTTTTGTTCATGGGTATATCCCTTGGGGGATGTACATGCCAATAGTCGTTTTAAAACTTGTTTTTGTTTATTTATTTTTGAGAGAGAGA